GCCAGGATGCTGGTGGCCTCCTTGGCCACCTGGGCACACACTGCTGGCTGATGTTCAGGTGGCTGTCAGTCTGCACCCCCAAATCTTAGCACTTTTGCTGATCCACAGAAGCAGAAAGCAGTGTGCAGAGTGGTTAACACTCAAAGGGACTGACAGAAGTTCCTTCAGGAGACTCCTTCCAGCTGGCTCTACAGTAACAGCTGGTTTGTGCTGAGGGCTCTGGGGACAGAGACCAATGGCCTCGGGGTCCTGGACTGGCCCAAAGCTTGGCAAGCCCATGTCCTGCCTCACCCCCAGCAAACACTCACCTAGGGAGTCTGGGATGCCTGACAAGCGATTCCCTGAGAGATCCAGATCTGTGCAGTTGTGCAGATTCCCAACTTCTTCGGGGAGGAATTCCAAAGCATTTTCTGAGAGATCCAGCTCCTGTAGCTCTGCCAGCTCCCCAATGCTCTGAGGTAAGTCCTTCAACTGATTTTTCATAGCAGAGAAGAAAGTCAGCTTGCTCAGAGAGCCAAAGTCCTCGGGGAGTGCCACCAGGCTGTTGTGGCTCACCAGGAGCCCACGGAGGCTGGGGAGGTGGAGGATGCAGCTGGGAAAGGTGGAGAGGCTGTTGAAGCTGAGATCCAGGTGGGTGAGGCACTTCAGATTTCCAAGGTCTGGTGGCAAGCTCCTCAGGGAGCCATGCTGACACGAACCAAACTCATCCCTGGCATGGCCACCTAGGTGTGGGGAGACATGGAGGAAGAGGTCAGTGTGCTACAGGGAGACCTCACCAGCCCCACGTGAGACTCCTCAGCACAGACCCAGCAGATGGGGTCACAGTCAGCAGCACTGAATACAAATTACTCAGAAGTGGGTTTTCTGCTCCTTGCCTCAGTTTCCTGGCCAGTGAAAGGGATATAATGGTGAAGAGCTGTTATGAAATCAAGAGATGCCACAGTCAACCAGTAGATCTCTGCTGAAGACATCTGGAGGTGAAGCTCAGAAAGAACCAGGCTGTGCCACACATCTACCACCCTTCAGCAGGGTGGCTACCACCCTTCCAACACAGAACACCAACCCAGCACCAACACAGGGCACTTCATGGACTAAGGAGCTGCTCCTTACCCTCCAGGCTCTGCCCAGGCTGTTGAGGGATAAACAGCCCCGAGGACTGAGATCTGCCCTTGTGAGACCAGAGGACAGACGTGAGGAAAGCACTGAAAACGTGGGGAGAAGCAGGTAACTCAGTGTTGTGTAGACCAGACAGCACAGAGAGGGAAGGACCTAAGTGCCCCACCCCAGCTTGTGACACTCAGACTGGAGAAGGGCTGCACCCATGGGAAATCAGTTGAGCAAACAAAAGGAGATGTCCCAAACTCTCCATTTCTTCATCGTTTAGGTTCTGCTCTCCCTCCACTGTGGTCTGTTTGGATCACATACAGCAGAGGGCAGCAAACAGTCCTGGTGCTGCACGAGGGTAAAAAATGACAACAAACTAACAGACCCATCGCTCTCTGTATCTACAAAAACCTTGGTGAATGTGTATTGCACCTCGGGATGCCCAGGGAGCACATACAGCTCACAAAACAAAGCTGACAACAGGCGCTGATGCTGCCCTCACCTTACTGCAGGGAGGAAAGACAAATGAAATCATTCATCTGAAGAGTCTGTGGCAGACAGAGAAGCAAACCTCCATCTTTTCTGTTTTCAGGTAGGACCCTGAACTCTGGCCACACATACACCCCCTTTTTCACAGAATCGTTTAGGTTGGAAAAGA